GAATCCAACCTGGTGGGGCCTCGCCAGGGTCATCTAGGCCATCCGCAGTCTCTAGGCTGGCGTAGGCTAAAGCCAGCCCTAGCAACCGAGAGATCATTCTACACCAGGGCCTAGCACGTATGGCTGATAGTCCATAAATGCTAGAGAGTCGGAGAGAGGGAGGGAGAGGGAGAGGGGAGGAATGAGAAAGTATCAATAGCGCCCAGCCAGTGTGGCTCAGTGAGTGAGCATTGACCCATGAACCAAGAGGTCACAGGTTCCATTCCCGGTCAGGGCACATGCCAGGTTGTGGGCTCAATCCCCAGTAAGGGGCATGCAGGAGGCAGCTGATCAATGATCAATGATGTTTCTCTCTCATCGATGTTTCTATCCCTCTGCCTTCCTTTGTCTCTCTAGAAATCAATGAAAACTTATTTTTTAAAAGAGCCCATAGCCTTTTCCTCCAAATCTTACGCTTCTCTGCCAGATCTTCTCATCCTCTAGCCTCTTCCCCTCATGCTGTAGGTCAGGCTAGTTTCTCTTGGTGAAACTTCAGTAAAACTGAGTCAGTCTCCTCTAGAAATTTGGACAATATTTTGTCCGGCCTCAGCCCTTGCCCTGAGTCTCCCACCCGGGCAGACCCCTGGTCTCTGATTCTTTTAGAAATATGTCCTACCGTCCTTGATCCTCCCTTTACCCCAGTGGTTCTCAACCTGGGCTGCACATTAGAATCACCTGGGAGTCTTTTTAAAAATCCCGATTTCTGGGCGTCATCCTCCGGAAATTCTGTTTCTTTGTTACTCATGTTGTGGCCCCACCCCATAACAAAGAAACAGAATTTCCAGAGGATGAGGCCCAGAAGTCGGGATTTTAAAAAGATTCCCATTTTCATTTCATCCTATTTGCTCGCAACGCTCTACACTTGGGCAAGGATAGCTTCCCCCTACCTTGCGTGCTGTTGGCTAACATGGCTCGCCTGGGTTCGGAGAATCCAAAATGATCTCATTCGCGTGCCTGGTGCCTTCGCTTGGGCTGCTGGGAAGAGCTGGGAGGTATTTCTGCCTGAGCCTCTCTCGTTCCCTCTGACCTGGTCTCTCTGCAGCAGGGTAGTTGGGCTTCCTTACAGCATGGCGGCTGCCTTCCAAGAGGGCAGAAATGAAAATGGCAATGTCCCTGAAGGCCTAGGCCTAAAAGCCCAGGAATCTCTTCTGCCACATTTTCTTAGACAAAGCAAGTCACAGGCCGGCCCAGATTCCAAGGAGGAAAAGTAGACCCTATTGGCTAGGAGGAGCAGCGTGCAGGCAGCAGGGTGGGGAAAACTGTTCGCAGCCATATCTGCACACAGGCCACCACAATGGTCCTAACACCCGAAAACGGATCCGGAGTCACCAAGGTCTGCATGGATCCATCCAACCTGCCTCCTTGCAGGAGGGAAGAGAAAAGTCTGGCAGGTTCTTTGGAGAAGCAAGTAGTACCCCAAAGGACTTTGGGGCTACGATCAGGGTAGGTCACTCTTTAGGAAAAAGGGAAAGGGACTCAGGGTGGGCGGAGCGGGAATGAAGAGGAGCACTGTGGGTCGCCAAGGACAATGGTGGTCAGACCAGGGGGCAGGATGTGAGTCCCGCAGCGGGGGAGATGAGCTGGGACAGCTTGGCAGACCTGGTGACAGAGAACAGAGGCACTGGGCCTTGCCTGGGTCTTCTCTGGGCCTTCGCGGTCCTCTGGGAAGGCTGCAGGGGTGCACGAGCGGGTCTTATACAGTTGGGGAGATCGCCATGTCCGATTTCTCCTTCTTTTCTCCATAATCTATTTAAAGACTATTTCTTCCGAGGCTGCATGTTGCAATCTCTTTCGTACTAAGGTTTCGGATTTTCCACTGACGAGCCCCAACCCCTGGAGACGTCTCTTGCCTCCTCTTGCCTTGCCTTACCACACGGAGGAAGTCTGGATTTCAGCTCTGGGTTTGGCCTCCACCGCATCCTCCCCCTGTTCCACTTTTCTTCTGCCTGTTTGTATTGAGTCTAGACTTTCCTTTTTATTTGTTGATGCCCTGCCCTAGCCTGGGGCAGCTGTGGTGTGGTGGGAAGAGCACTGGAATTGGAGTCCGGAAAGCTGGTTTCGATTCTGGCTTGGCCATTTCCTGGCTGTGCCTAAATGTCCAGGCAAGTTATTTACCCCCTCTGAGCCTCCTGCTTCTCCTCCGCTACGCGAAGTAATGCGCCCCCACTCCAGGGTTGCTGAAACAAGGAGACAGTGGCTGGACTGACGAAGAGGCCTTTGTTCCTGGTACCTACCACTGAGTCCCCTTCCCCGCAAGCCCCACTCAAATCCCCACCTTTCTGAAAGCCCGGAATCTCTCCTGTCACATCCCCTCCACCATACATTCTCTCCAGTGCCAGGCCTCATCCACCTCCACAGTCTTGGGGCGAAACCCTCCGTTACCAGGTCTCAGTTTCACAAATGTTTATTGAGCATGTACTATGTTCCAGGCACTGTTCTGGGCGCTGGAAACACAGCGATGAACAAAACAGACAAAAATCTCTGCCCTCCTGTTGCTTGCACCCTAGTCGGGGAGAGCAGAGGGGGGAGAGGCAGCGAAGACAGACCGAGTGGGGAGTAAATCCTGGAGCTACACTATCCAAAATGGTAGCCACTGGCCACCTGTGTAGATTGAGCATTAGAAATGGGGCAACTCCCAATGAGACGTGGGTAAGAATAACATGCACAATGATTCAAAGATTTAACTTTAAAAGTATGCAGTCTCTCATTGGTTTTTATATTGACTAGGTGGTGGAATGATACTTTAGATATGTTGGGGTTACGTAAAATGTATTATTCCACTCAGTTCTACCTGTTTCTTTTTACCTTTTAAAATCTGGCTCCCCGCCCTAACTGGTTTGGCTCAGCAAATAGAGCGTCGGCCTGCAGACTGAAGGGTCCCGGGTTCGATTCTGGTCAAGAGCATATACCTTGGTTGCGGGCACATCCCCAGTAGGGAGTGTGCAGGAGGCAGCCGATCGATGTTTCTCTCTCATCAATGTTTCTAACTCTCTATCCCTCTCCCTTCCTCTCTGTAAAAAATCAATAAAATATATTTTAAAAAATATATTTAAAAAAATAAAATCTGGCTCCGAGAAAACGTTGTTACATTCGTTGTGGCTCATGTTATGGTTCTATTGAGCAGCTCTGTTCGTTCTAGAATATGTTAGAAGGTTGTATGTGCTACGGGGGGAAAGGGGTGCTCAACAGGAGCATCCGGAGCACATCTGGGCAAGAGTGCTCCAAGCAGAAGGAATGCCAGCGCCAAGGCCCACGGAGGCAGCATGCCTGCCGTCCGAGGCACAGAGAAGCCGGCGCGGCTGGAGCCATGTGACCGAGGGGCAGAGGCAGCCTGGATGGTGCAGGGCCTTTTAAGGCCATTGTACAGACTTCGGCTTTTTCTGAGTAACATAGAGTCTCGCAGGGTCTTCAGCCAAAAGGTGATACAATTGGGCTCACACTCTAACAGGCTCACTCTGGCTGTTGTGTGGCAACTAAAGTGAGTCGAGAGGACAGTTTGGGGTTGAGAGGCTCAGGCCAGTATGTCCTCGGGATGACCACAGCCCCGCAGGGCAGTTATGTGGAGTCAGTGGGTGTGAGAGCAGCAGGGGGAAAGCACCTGGAAAATGAGCTCCAGTGCAGGCAGGGACCTTGCCTCCGGCCTCAGTGTAGCCAGGAGGCAGCGGGCACCCTCCCCAGCGGTCGTGGAAGTCACCACACCACCACCATCCGGGCCTCTCCCCGCGCAGGGCTGCACCCCCGCCTCGCTGCTGGGATGCTCCGTTTAAAGCCCTTCAGCCGCTGCTCAGTGGCTCTGGTGGAGGCAGCATTGCAGGCTCCCCAAAAGCTAACCCTGCCTGTCTCTTCGGTCTCCACCCCTCGCCCACTCCCTGCCCGCGTGCCCCTGCCAAACCTTTGCTTACACTCTCCCTTCTGCCTGGAATGTCCGCTTCAACCCTTCCATCCTCCCCTCCGTGGTCGGTCTTCTTCTACCACTTCCTTAAGGGGCAGCCTAGAGGGAATGCCATGAGAAGACCCCAGACTCTGCTACCCCCAAAGCATCCCAGCCCCAAACGATCAGAGGCGCCCATCCTATTTTATGTATTTTTCTCTTCGTGGATATAGTTCTGTGAGGGTTGGAATTGTGTCTTGGTCCTAACGGCATCCTTGCCCTAGCCCAGTGGTCAGCAAACTGCGGCCCCTTGAGTGTGGCTCTTCCACAAAATACCACGTGCAGGCGCACACCTACAGTGGGATTGAAACTTCATGGCCACACTCAAGGGGCCAAAGAGCCGCATGTGGCTCGCGAGCCGCAGTTTGCCAACCACTGCCCTAACCTGATGGCTATCCCAATAAGTCCTGTTTGAAGGAATAAGAGAGGCTGCAGGAGGCGGTTTTGGAAGGATGCTCATAAATGCCAATGACCCAGACAGATTCTACTTCCCCCAGGACCCCAGGAGAGAACACCGCTCAGGGGCAACCAGAGCCGTGGGCCGACCTTTCAGGGGCTCAAGGAACTCCAGGGCTCACTAAGTAAAACTAAAGTACATCTTGGGGTCCAGGTCCGCATGAGCACCCACTTCCCAGCCCCATAGCCAACTCCAGCCCCCCCCCTTTCCACCGAGCAGCAAGCTCAGACCCATAGCCAGTTGCTTCCTGGACCAAGGGCCAGGGCGGGCCGGGACTACGTGGTTCCTAAAGGCATCACTACTCACTTTGGGGCCCTTGGCTCCTGTCTAAGGAGCTGTCTCTCCCTCCCCGGTTCCCAGAGGGCCCCCCGCCCCGCCATATCATGGCAGAGCGTGGACAGTTCCCCCAGGACCAGCCCAGCTACACCGGAAGGACTCAGGCCCCAGCACCTGGGACCCCTTTCCCAGGCCTAAGATAAATGCCATGTTCCCCAAGGGAGGCGGGAAAGGGGGCAGGAGGAAATCTGGAACAAAGATTCAATGGAGAAGGAGAAACCAGGAGGAGCTCTGAGATCAGAATTAAATTCTTTAATACAAAATGCTTTTTTTAAGATATATCTGTATTTCTTTGTTGCTGTTTAAAAATAAATATGTACTACGGAATATCTCGAAAAACTGCACTAGGGACAAAGATGTGATGTTAATATCTTTTCCCCCACAATTATTATGGATAAACAGTAGCACCAATAAATAAATGATAACAAATATTAAAATTAAAAAAGGAGAGAGATTTAGTATGTAGAATTCTCTATTTTTTCTTGTTTTGTTTTTACATATAAAAAACAGAATAGCAATGTCTATTTTATCAGAATCACATATATACATAAACATATATATATATATACAAACACGAGTTGCCAAATATATATATAGTATGTAGATGTATATTGAAACCTTATTTCAAAGGAATGTGTGGTGGGGAGCCGGGGGAAAGGGTAGGGCAGAGATGAGTGTTAGCAAAATTAAATATCTGTTCAGGACAAGCTAGTGACTGTCACCGATCAGGGAAGAGAGACTGGAAACATGAATTTTATACACAAAGACCAGTACAAATAAGAGAGAGAGAGAGAGCGAGAGAGATACATCTCATAAATAGTTCAAATTAAATATTAACCAAGAATACTGAAAAAACCCTACTCTTTAATTAAATTAACTGTTTTAATTTCTAATTAAAAAGAGATATTAAATAAGTACCGTATATAAAACACTTTCTCTTTTCTCTGCCTCCATGGTGGGCACATGGATTCTGCCCTGTCTCTCTGTGCCGCGGGAAGGGTCGGGTGGGGGGAGAGAGGGATGTCAACCACTCACACACACAGAGCCAGGTCTCCTGGGGGACAGAACTAGTGGTTTCAATGGTCTGAGGACCTCGGGCCCCCTGGGCTGCGCCCAGGAAGGGAGCAGGGAAGTGGCCAAGGCAAGAGGCCCTTCCCACAGACGATGAGCTTCATCAGGCTGCTCTTCTTCCACCAGCATCCGCTTCTCTTCGCCAGGACACCTGGCAGTGGCCTCCTGGGCACCTCAGAGGCAGGTGAGAGTAGGTAAAGGCTGCCCAGGCTCCTGAATCCTTCAGGCAGTGCCCCTGGGGGCAGGATGCCCGTGCAGCACGTGGAGGGGCTCCCCAAAGCACAGCAGTGTCCTGAGGCTCCCCAAACTCCCGATCGGAGCCAGCGTCCTCATCCCTGTACCTGCCGTCTGTCTTTCTGTCCATTTGACTCGGGGTAGAGGCTCGGAACCAGGGCTGGGTTTGTCGGTGTTCCCAAAAGCAGGCCAAATGTGCCCCCATGCCCTGGCCTTGCATGCTCCTAGGCAAGGGAGGGAACCCTGGCCTCCCCAAGAGCGACAAGAAGACCATGCCAGAGTCTCTCCTCCCGTCTTCTTCCTTGTTGGGATCTGGGTGGGAACAGTGTCCTCCCAACTCAAGTCCACAGCAGTCAAATACATCCAGTGAAGACACCAATAACATTAGCAATGTTAATTTAAAAAAAAAAGAATATATATATTTTATATATATATAAAATATATATATTTATTTATATAGCTTCTGCACAAAAAAAAAAAACCATCAACAAAACAACAAGAAAGCCCACTGCATGGGAGAACATATTTGCAAATATATATATATATATAAACATATGTATGTGGGTGGGTGTGTCTACAGGAATCCCAGAAATAAAACTCTCTACCGGGCTCGGTGATTTAGCAGCAAGAAAAATAAAATGGCGATCCAATTCCAAGAGGGACCGTGCTTGGTCACCGGCCCGGGAATGCTTCTGCCGGAGTCTCGCCCTCCGGACCCAAAGTGCTCTGCGCAGTCTCCTCTTCCTTCATGTCAGGTTTCTGGATTAAGGATGGTTCTGTCGATGGTGGTGGTGGTGGTGTGGTGGCAGCGGCGTGGTTTCTGTATCAGTCATTCTGTATCCACCTCTCCTGGTGAGAGGTCTGGTTCCCGAAACCCTGAGGGAGGCTCCTTCCTCCAGCCTGGCTCACCGCCTGGGCTTGTCACATCTGCGGATGGAAAACAGAGGCGGGGTTAGGGCCAGGGGAGGAGCTGGGGGGGAGTCCCCGTAGCTGGAGGATGGTGACAGCATGGTCCTGCCTCGGGACCCCGGGCGAGGGAGAGGCCAGCCCCTGCCCAACAGGCCCTGTCCCAGCCACTGTCGGAGCAGTAGCCATGCTCAGGGCTCCCCATCTGCCCTCTCAAGCTAACAATCAAGTTGAGACAAAGCAAGGACATGAGGACACCCCATCACAAGCAACAAATAAACACACACTAAGAACAGTCCCTGCTGGACACCTAAGAGCTAATGGGTGACCAGAGCTGGGCCAAGTGAACCAGGAAAGGACCCCTGCAGAAGGAGGTGTTTCAGCTCCATCTCACGGGGCAGGTCTGGGGGAGAGAGTGAAAAGAGCGCCTTGAGCCAGGGGAAGGGGCCCGGTGGGAGACAGCCAGCTGATGGGACTCTGCGCCTGAGAAAGTGGGGCTCCCAAGGCAGGGGAGCCGGTGGGGTGGGGGGCACAACTCCCTTCCCCATCCCCTCCCTCCCAGCCTCAGCCACAGGCCTCAGTCAGTCCTTCAGGCCCCAGGCTGCTTTCCTTTCCGATATGCTCCTTAACGTGGGGTGGGGGAGAGGCCACTGGAGGCTGTGCTGTCGCACTGAAGCGTAGGGGACTCCAAGAACTCGCTCCTCATGCCCCCGCCCCCTGGGCTGATGGACATCTGCCCGCCCCACTGTGAGGCGTTGGAGCAGGCCCTGCCCTTCTGAGAGTCTGAGAATGGGGATCCTAAGCCTTTAGCTGGGGCACTGAATCCCCCCCCCCCCCCCACAGCCAAGTCAGGGGCTGGGGAAAGTCCTTCAGTTAGCTCCTAGGTCACTGCACACATCCCACCCCAGACAGTCTCTCTGCAGAATAACCTCTGTGGAAGCCCTATAGTGGCAAGTCCCGGATCTCCCCCAAGCTCCCCAGGGGGGTGTGGAGACCCCTCATCCATTCCTGGAGTTAGGCAGAGCCCCCACCGCCAACACTAGTATACACTCTCTGTCTTCACATATCACCAGACAGACAGAGCCCCACAGCGACACCCCAAGACACGGTCCCCAGCGTCCTCTGAACACTCACAAGCCACAGGAACACGGTGGCGGGGAAGTAGCCACATTCTGAGGACTTTGTTAATGAAGCATGTGGACTAGCCCGGGAGTCCCCACAGAAGCCCCTCCTCCCCAGGTGATGCTTGAGCACAGCCCTGTGCTCCCGACCTCACCCTCTGACCTCGCTCACACCCTTGACACTGCCCTGGTCCCCACTGTGGACAGGGGTATAGAT